ATTAGTGGAAAAGTCTTATAATTGAGGTGACAACTAAAATATAAAATTGAATTTTCAAATTTTATAGAAATGTGGAAAATTTGAAAAACTGGCACCGGGACCTTTAATATATAATCATACAGTGAAACCTCCCCTAACGGAAACCTCTAAATAACGGACAACTCCAAATAGCTGAAATAATTTCGGTGACCGAGAGTGTCCAGTATTTAGAGATGTCGCCATACTACAGTACTACAATAGGCGCATTTAGGCTATATGAGAAAATTATTTTTACTGCCCCCCTCTCCTAGTATTTCACGAAAATTGGCATTACAGTACTTATAACTTTAACTGATCTTTATTTAAAACATAATGTAATATTCTCGTCAGAAGGAATAGAAAATATATTTTCTGTTTTATTTAATAGTTGTTACCATCAACAAGCAGCAAAACCAAAAAAAATATTTACATAACCACCACTGATCACTGGGTAGATATTTTACCCCGCCCTTAAAATTTGGCACCCGCTTAGTACCCCCCTAAATGCGCCACTGAGTACTACACACAATTACCTAGCTACAATTGACTGCTCTATTCTATACGATCTTTGTGAGTGTATATTATAATCGTATATACACATCGGTATATTATATAGTAAACTCTGACAACCAGATGCTCGATATTGCTATTCTAACGGCATGTTAGCCCAACTATAAACAACTAACAAATAATAATAATAATAATTGTTGGTCGTCCATTAGCTCGATATCGATTGTCGTGTAAACACATTAACATAATAAATTAAAATTTCTAACGGCACTGAATGCGTGACTCCAAAAATATATTACAAATAATTATATAAGTCCGATGTTGAAAATACGTATTGGGTACTAATTTTGTTTATCGTAGGGTTCCAGCTAAGGACGTTTTGATCGTTTAATTATTTAGCAAGCATCACATATTTTACACATTCGTTTTTCTGTTCGTCGTCGCTTACATTTTTTCGGAAATATTACGGAAATTCAATTTTATATAAACGTTTGGAACGATGGCAACGCTGGTGCTAATAATATTATATTATTATTATTATTACAACAGTGTTTGTAATAAAAATGTACACTGATGAGAATAAAATAAAATAAAACATAAACTATTATTCTCCTTTTCGATCAGTTGGACGCAACTAAACACACGTCACTGTATTTGCTTTGTTTCATTTCGGTCGATTTAATAATTTATATACAAAAAGTAAAACGCCAAACATAAATATAATATATTTTGAAGTGAAAAAGCGAAGGTATTAAGAATGTTCACTGTTAATAACAATTGTAAATGACGTGTGTTCATTGTCTGTCACATAATATAAATTACATTATTATAATCTATTGTAAACAACTAAACAAGTATCTAATAATTACATATTACTAAAAACAACTTAATATAATAACGCTACCTATTTAATTTATAATTTGCCTAAACCATATAGCAATGATTAAAAGTAATTTTAAAATTTGAGAATATTTATTATGTTCCAATTGGTTATATAATATTTCTACAACAGACCACAGTAGTTTGCTTATTGCTTAGAACATAATGCTATTATATTATAGGTAATACAAGATTTTTGGAATAAAAATAAGAGTACCGTTTTAGTTTCGCACGCTGCCTTGGCTGATGTCCAAAAGACCTGGCCAATATTCATATAGCACATAATATCTATACGTATTTTATAGCCAGGAATTTGTATAAAATAGTTTCGAACATCATTTTTGAAACGACGAATTTATTTAGGAAATAAATCGTCAGCTTTACACTGACGTCGGACGCCTTATGAGCTATAAATCATTTCGATGGCTTGTAACGAAAATTTCTTATCGGTTATTGTACGTAACATTATAAATTAAAATATTGAGTAGATAATTTGAAGTCTCTGGAAACTGTGATTGATTTTTTTTTTAATTTAAACAATCTGCCGTCGATAATTCTACGATTGCATGGAAACATGTCTGGAGGACTTCTTGCTGTATGAAATATGCATTGGACGTATATATACTATATAAATCGTTAAATGTGCCCCCCTCACCACTCTGTATGTGGTCAAACTCACTACATTTATAATGTGTGTAACGTACTAACAAATCGGATTTGAATGGCACTGAATTGTTGTAGAGCTTAACGGTATTACAATAATAATAGCGATTAACGATAAATGTGTATTTGTATGACGTGTGTGTATAAATTGCTACCAATATAATAATTCTTTTACCAAAACCTTTCTGCGTTTATATTATACGTGTTAACTGTTAACCCTTTAACATTTACACAATACACATAATATTCAAGTTTTTCATCGACTAAAATATTATCATAGGTCACATATAGGTAATAATAATATTACTTCAAAAATTTTGTGGTATTGATATTATTGTATGGGTACTATTATAGTTTAAGCAATTCGTTTGTAATCAAAATAGATAGGTACCTATTTTGTTATATTTTTAAATTTGATATAAAAAACCGATACTTTTTTCTCTAACAGGGAAAATCTATAAATCATAAATGTGTTTTGTTATTAAAGTACCAACCGATAAATCGGAAAGAACTAAAAAACGTGTATACAACCCAAAAATATAATTAAGTATTTTATAATAATATGAACTACTCATCTATAGATACATATTTTTTTTTTACAATTTAATTAGTATTTTAAACTAGATATGCCTGGAACACATATTACACAAAGTACACTATACTTATAGTACTCTATACACATTGCAACCATAAATTATCGATTCAGAAATTATATCAACGGATTCTAATAGAGCTACACGCCTACATTGTACGATGTTCTTTTACCAAAAGGAATAATAAATCAATGGTACCTATACGGCTACACAAAAGTTGTATGGAATTCAAGCCCCAAAACCAAGAAGTAATTGAAACTCTTATAAGAACAAAGGTCGAATTCCACCATTTAAAAAAAATACGTTTGGGCACTACTACTGTAACTAAAATAAAAAAAAGTATGTTTTTAATTAATATTTTTTGCCCATCTTACTTAGTGAGTTGTGGACCATACTGAGAAAAAAAATAATTGTTTACGTACAAAACATTTATTTCTCAAATAAATTCTCTTCGTCTTTTCATTAATTTGTATAAAATAATAATAATAATAATAACTATATTGCATTTAAGAAAAAATGTTTACATATGTTGTACAAATAAAAAATTATTTAAATGATTGTCTCCAAAAGCCTAGGCTTGTGGAGGAGACAACAGTTCATATTTTAAAGTGTGTTTACAATTTTAAGACAACTACATTTAATTCTTATCAAATTAAACAACTTAAGTTTATACAAATAAATAAGCAATAATTGAATCTAACTGAATCTGAATTTATTTTATTTAAATCAATATTTATGTCACTACAAAATACACACGAAATATTATTATCAATACCATCCAAACAAATTTCTAAACTATCTAAAAAACTTTCTTGAAGTAAACATGGAGACCGATAAACACAAATTAAATTCAAAGAAGACTCATTTTATACAATATAACAATTTCATAAAGCTACAAAAATTAATCTCACCAAAAAGTATCGAATTAATTTTTATTGAGTTTCTAATGAATACTGTTATACCATCTGATTTATTCAATTTACTATAATAATTATAACTTGAAAAGCCATCAATGCGAAAATCAAAAGTATCTTTTTCCAACCATGTTTCAAACAAACAGATTATATCAAATTTAATATCAGTAGTACATAAAAAAATACAAAGTCCATTAAAATGTTTGTGAATACTACGAATATTCATACTGAGAACGAATCAGTCACTATTATTTTTTTTTGACAATTTAATTTAAGCTAATGATATTCTGTGTATTATATTCTAAATTACTATTTACATTTAAAAATTTAAAATGAACATTTTGGGAATTAATCATACTATAAAGAATAAAGATACAAATTACAATAAAAAAAATACCTTTGTACCTATATGTTAAATTATGAATTAAATTCCCATAAAGCCACTAACTTTTTCTCAACATCAATATTCTGTAGTGCTTCTAAATTTTGGATTTTGAAAATTTGACCTTCATCTTGTTTTATTATGAATACTCCTGACATGTTAAAAATACGGAACCATAATATTAATATCACTGAGCCAAAAGTAATAAACAGGCACTGATCATTTACACGAACAGACATTCATTTTATACCTTTTTTTTTTTTTTAATAACATTGAAAAAATAATGCCGATCATCAAAAGTCTAACATGGCACCTAGCCACCTAGGTCCTAGCCCCTAGGTATAACCGATTATAAACACATACTATATGGGTATATCTTATATATATATAATATGCTATGAAAAAAATTATATGTTAAAAATAAAATATTTTGTAATTTCACCGGTAGCCATCATAATATGGAACATAATATTACTATTACGTCCTACTTCATAAATACTATTCAATATAAAGTATAATATAATATTGTAGGTACCTACGCAATGATATAATTTACGGGATCGTGGTAATGAATTTGATTCATACGAAGTACATATTCGGTAGTCCACTCTATCAGTTATCGTCTATCTATGACATGAAAAACCTACAAAAATAATTTTTTGTAGTTTATATTTTAAATATTTAAATAAAAATATATTCCCTCTACATAAATAATATTATGCATGTAATGACACGTATTAATAATTGTCCATTTGTTTTAAAAGCAATTATCGTTATAAAGTGTTATTTTATCTTGTGATATTTTGTCTATTTTTTTTAAATATATTTTGTCCGAAATATTGCCCTGTGCAGAACAGATGACGACAGTAAAGTAGTTGCCAGAAAAAAAAAGAATGTTTAACAAAAAATCTCATTGCCAGCCAGCAGAACTGTAACAGACGACGGGGAGTTAAGCTCAGGCTGTAAGTACGAACGAACGCGTCAACCGAGTGTCGTGTGATGTGCTTTCGGTAGTGAATATTTTTTCTTTTAGGGGGCTCGATGGATTTTAGATGGATTTTGATTATCGCCCTGCTTAGCGTCAGAGGTAATTCGTATTTCTAATAATATTTTGTAGATAGTTATCGTTATTTTGTCTTGTAGAAATAATAATTATTCACGTGGATAAATTGTAAACATACCTGTAGGTACCTACGAGATTTGTGTATGTATTTTAATGGGATAATTTTTTTTATGTAATATAAAACATTAAAGAGTGTATTTATAATATGAGTAATTTAAAATGTAGCATATTATAATAAATTATAAAATAAACGACCCCATTAGGCTGTGCGGGGAAATATTTTAATTGGAACATGACTAAAAGGCCGTAAATAAACTATCCGAGTAAAAATAGTATTTCATATTATAATGTTTGAAAAATATCAAAAACGTTTTAAGAAAATACATTTCTAGGTATATTTTTTTCTTTTTGGCAAATGCCGATAACACTGAATTTATTATTATTATTATTATTCCAATAAATTATGAGTAAATAGTCTTTTTTAAGTAACTTCAGCGGTTTTCGTTTAATGTGGGTTATAAGTTAATATTACTTGTATATAATCTTAATATTAACTGCAATTTATTATATTGTCATATTTATTTATTTTTTCATGTCTACAAATATTGTGTACAATGATATTATAATTATTATACTATAGTGCAATACGTTTAAGATTATATTAGGAATTAGGATTACACTCAATTACACAACAATATTTTTAGGCAGGTATAATTTTACATGGGTAGGTACTATTGAAAATACCACATTCTGGTTAAAGTTGTTACATTTACTTTCTTTTTTTAAACTTTTTTTTACGTTTAAAAGTGCTTGAAAACATTCACACACTTGAAAAACCATTATGATAATATTTAAAGATAATTCAAAATGTCCTTATTCGTCTGTATAAAAACGTCAATTTTCATAAAATTGGAAACTCCCTCGCTCAACGCAAACCTGCCGCTCGCGACATTTCTATTTCTGTAGGGGCATTAGGTTATGTTGTGTATTAATAGTGTACCGACAGAACACAACTGGGACACTCTGGTTGCAATTTTCTATTTTTATATTACCAGCGACCGTCTGGGATTTTTAAATACTCTCGTTGGCGATTTTTTTTTTTTTATCAATTGACGGTCATTAGTCATTACTTATTATTTATTATTTTATTGTTCTGTCCATTATCGATTATTATTACTTTTTCTTGTATTAATTTAGTACCTACATTATCTATCCAATAAAATGTCTTATCTAAAACTTCATGATTCAATTTTACTCCATCGCTGATTTTGGTTTAGATACATTTTGTGAAACTTTTGCCAGTGTACCATCGGCGTCTATAGCTCCATCGGAGGTGGATTGTCAACCATACGTAGAGAAAGCCATCAAAGAATTAGTTACTCCAGAACCTATTGGTAGTTAGATATTTAAAATACGTAAATTTCGTTACATATTATATTCAGGAAGTGTGTCGTATTCAGGAAGTACAGAACGCGACCACAACATTCAGAATGAAAGCCCCACAAGTGGAAGCACTCCAAATGATGATGTTACAGGCTCGAGTTCTCAAGATGGCAATTCTCCGGATGATAGCAGATCGAGTACACCACCCCAACCGGTAAATATAATTACTGTACCTAATAATAACTATACTTAATAAGATTAAGCTAAAGTTATTTTTGTATAATTTTTAGGAAAAGTTCGAAAAAGAAGAAGAAGCAACCAGAGACGAAGTAAATTTAAATGAAGGTTTTAATGAAAGAAATGAAATAAAAAATAATGTTAATGAAGTAAATGATGCAGAAGAAATCCGTCCACTTGATATAACTGAAAAAAATCAAACCTATAATACTGCAGAAGAAGATAGTGAAATTGAAATCGTTAGTGAAGAAGAAGAAAATCCTGAAAATAATAGTGTAAGTGCAATAGAAAATGAAGTTACAGAACCTGAAAAAGAATCTGTACCTATTATTTTAGACAAAGATGTTGTTAACAATAATGTTGAAATTATAATTGATGTTGAAGATATAAAAAATAAAAATGCTGATAAAATAGTAGAACCTATTGCAAATAAGATACAAGTAGAAGAAAAAATAGAAGCTACTAATGTTAACAAAAATATGGAAACCCCTAAACAATCATTTAAAGGAACAAAAAAAAGGAACCCAAAATATTGGAAGTTTGATCCAGACGATGAACCTGAAAATTCTGTTCCAATTGTAAAACCAAAACCAAAAAGAAATTTAAAATACTGGAAAATTGATCCCGATGAATTTCCACTTGAACAAGCGCCCAAACCAGCTGAGACTCCAAAATTACGTAATCCTAAATATTGGAAATTAGATCCAGAAGAAGAAAAATTGTACAAGCTAGCGGAAGCTAAAAAGACTGAAGATATAATAAAATCAGTTCCTCAGAAAGGTAAAAGAAATCCTAAGTACTGGAAGTTTGATCCAGACGAAGAGGAAATAGGAGTAGACAACAAAAAACCTTCGACAATTGATGATACGTTAAAACAAAGTTCAAATCAAATGTTTAAAGGAACAAAAAAACGGAATCCAAAATATTGGAAATTTGATCCAGATGAATATGAAGAAGAAATAAAAAAAGAGCCAGTAGCTAAACCTAAGCGAAACCCTAAGTACTGGAAATTCGATCCCGACAACGAACTCGAAGAACATAAAAAAACGGTTGAAGAAAATAAAATAGAAAAAGATACTCATAAAAAAAATAAATATTGGAAAATGGACGAACCGACTGAGGAGATAAAAATATTAGGAGATAAAGAAGAAGACAAAACAAAACAGAACAAGTATTGGGAAACTAATGAATCAAATAAGGATACAAAACAAATTGATAAAAAAGAAGAAGACAAATCAAAACAGAACAAGTATTGGAAAACAAATGAACAAAATGAGGATACAAAAACGATAGATCAAAAAGACGAAGAAAAACCAAAAAAGAATAAATATTGGAAAACAGAAGAAGTTGAAAATAATATACCAAATGAAGTAATAAAACAAGAAGAACCAATCGCGAAAAAAAATAAATATTGGAAAACAGAAGAAACGGAAAAACAAAATGAAGTGAAAGATGAAGATACAACATCTAAAAAAAATAAATACTGGAAAACAGGAGAAAAACCCGTAGACGCAGTAAAAGAAAAATTAATAGAAACTCAAAGAAGTATGTATTGGAAACTAGACGAAGAAAAAAAATCATCAAAATGGGAAAAACAAACTATAAACGAAAATATCAAAACTACTGAAGGTAAAAAAATAAAAATCATAATGAATTCATTGATAGACACATTTCTTTGATACTTTTTGTGCATTTAGATGAAGTAACAGTTGAAGAATACCTGCCAGAAGATTTGACAATGGTAATACTGAAATTTAATTTAATAACTCTTAAGTCATAGTAAGTTATACATATAATCATGTGGACATGTGATATTAAAACAAATTGACCTTGACTATTGTAATAGTATAAAAAGAGGTCCAAAAAAAGTTGTAAATAATAAAAAAATAATTAATAATTTAATGTAATAATTAAATAAAAAAACTTGTTTAGGACGAAGTGGTACCAAAGAATCTACGAAATAAAAGTCATATAAAACAAACATTAAAAATAGGTGAAAATACTGCACAGCATGATAGTTTTCTATCAAAAGTGGTCGATTCGACATTAAAAGAACTAAAAAAAGTATATGAAGTGGCAATTAAACCTTTGGAAATGACTTTCAAGTACAGAGATCTGAGTAACAGACATTTCGGAGGTAATTGAAATTATTCATATACAATATTTGCATTTCGACTCAGTAATTATACGCGTACTGTTTATTATGTTTTAGAGCCAGAAATATTCTCTAAACCACTCATTCTGTTTATGGGACCTTGGAGTGGTGGTAAATCTTCAATAGTTAATTATCTTTTAGACATTGAACATTCTCAATTTGCATTAAGAACTGGTGAGTAATATTCCACTATGGAGACCGAAATGTATCATATTATTTCAATATGCAATTAATCTGAATTCATACACTAAAAGTTTATATTAACAGTTATTTTTAATTCGATATTATCAGTATGTGTTTTAAACCCGAACATAATATTTAAAAGTAATTTTTAATTACTCAAAATCTTAATATTATTAATATTATAGTTAATTTAATAAAAAACCTGTGCATAACCTGTGCGTACGAGTTTAATTGACCATCACGTAAAACACTTTTTACATATACTAATGACTAATGAGTATACCTACTTATAATTATGTAGTTTATTAATTAATACTAAAACTTGAGTTTGTGAAAATATATATGTAACGTTCGTCGTTTAGTTATGATCGGTAAAATACTAAAATGAACAATGTTTATTTTATTTTAAATAAAAAAATTTACACTTTATATTAATAATTAATATATTATATATTATGTAAGTACTATATTATGTTAAATAATATGTTATGTAGGTACTATTTATATTTTGCAGTAGGATATGGTTGAGTGAGAGAAGTGAGTGTCCACTGTATATGTAACACTCTACTTCAAAGATACGAGCTTGGGTCTTTTTTTTTATGATCTTATAAAAATATAGGTCTCATTCAACTGATGGTTAGGTTAGGGACCGCTCTCGACTATAAGTACTCAATAATGACCGCGATACCACCTTCAGACTCGTCAAAGTATATACCACGGCTGAGATTATCGACGTATGCATATTGTGTTAATGTTACCCACCTGCGATAAAGTGACAGAACATATTATTAATAAAGTTGATAAATTGTCGTGGTATAAACAATAAATAACTTGCAGAAAAGAAAATTACCTGCACCGGGTCACGAAAAATCGTATTTCATAATAGGTACGTTTTTGTTGTTTCTTAGGGGACGCTAAGTACAATTACAGATATTCTAGGGAACCTCTACTTTTTTCAAATTAGGGCGTATGGGCAAGGGTCGGTACTAAATTTAGGTTTTTTTTACAAAATTAATATTTTTTTTTATTTACTAAATGTGTAAGCATTGATATCTAATACAGCGATATGTGATAATATTATATAGACATTCATTTGTCTCAATATTTAACTCAGCCAACTATTTATATGTGTCATTGTGCCATTGTGGATTCTTAATAGAAGGAGGAATGCAGGTCTGCAGATGAAGTACGCCGTCCTAAAATACAAGAAAATTCTGATTTCTAACTTAATTTATTAAAACTAAACATATTATTTCCAGGGGCGCCATTTCAGTTTTTTTTTAAGGTGTGCAAACAATTAAAGAGGCCAATTTTTTCCCACCTCCAGGCCAATCGTTAAAAAAACGTTTCTAGTGTTTTCAGTTTTTCTCAGTGATCTCATGATAATAAACGTTGAAAAGGACGATGCCAATAAAATAGATTTAAATAAAGCTGTGGATGATTTTGGTAAAATGAAGAATAGGAGTTATCCACTTTTTTAATAACTTTTAGTACTTTTACTGTTATACCTATTTACTTAGTTAAAGTACATAATTAGTTTTTGTATTTCTTTTTATGTTATTGTTTAATACAAATATTATTAAATATATCTTTTTTTATTTATATGAAATTGGTTAAATATGTTTGAAAAAAAAGTATTAATGAGTATTTGAATATTAAAATGTGGGGATATGAGTGAGCAAAGCGATCGGAAATTTTTTTAAGTTCCACTAAATAAACAGGATATATAAATGGCCTGGTGGAGGGAACAATTGGCCTGATTCAAATGTTTGCATCCCTATCGAAAAGTTGAAATGACGCCCCTGGAATAGATGCGTATTATTATGTCTGTTGTTTATCAGTAACCATTTACCAATTACACATATTTGTGTGTGCCAGTGGATAAAGTGATACCGATATCAATTTATCAATTATCAAATTGAAGAAAACAATAATATTATAATATAATTTATGATTATCAGTGAATAGCTGCGGTGCATGTACAATTAAAGATAAGCAAACTGAAGGCCATAGTATTAATGAGGCCTAGGCCAATTGTGGACACCAAAATTACAGGGTGTGCGAGTGCACACCCTGCCCCCCCCCAAATGGCGCCCCTGATTATTTCCTTATATACATTGTCTAATTATTATACTTATGTTTGCTTGCATTTAAGGAGCGGAGCCATCTCCAGCGTATTTCAACATTATGATGTATAATAACCGCGAAGCGATTCTAGACGGAACGCAATTAGCAGCCGACTGGACGTTTTCGGGTCTTCAGAAATTCGGACAGGGTCTGTTGGACAAACTCCGTGGACTCAAGTTACCCCATCCTTTGTTAGAGAAGGTAAACAATATTATAATCTTTAGATTATACTATATTATAGCTAATGGTCATGCCGACTTGTGCTGTGAAGCAATAAGTCCATCTAGTAAATTAATATAATAATATAAGTAGTGCCTATAATATTATGTAGAAAATAATAAACTCGGTCCTAGCGAGAGATCACTCAACGGCCCGACAAAAAATGTGTGTGTTCTCTCGCTGAACAGAGTATAGATGGATTATTTTAACAACAGACACTCGTTATTTTGACAAATCTTTGTTTTTATGTCTTATACATTTTAAATGACAACTCATAGTTTTTTTAAACTTAATTACCTGAAAAAGAATATTTTTATGAATGTTTTAACTACAAAATAAATTAAGTAAGTAAGTAACCTATTACTTATTGCAGAAATATAGTCAACACAGTTTTTTATTTATCCGCATTTTATTTTTAAGTAATCAGAAAAGTGAAACAGCATTGGATACCCCGGTGCATTTTTCGTTGCTCTATCAAATTTTTAATTTATTATAATAAAATATTGTATTAATTAATTGTATTATTTTAAAATACGAAAATCAACGGGTGTTCCCTGTAAAAAGAAACGGCCTACATTTAGTAGCATAATATTAATACTAACGATCGCTTGTGATTTTTCCGCAGGTAAACATCGTAGAGATTCCCGGAATATTAGAAATGCGTAAGCACGTGGACCGTGTGTTCCCGTTCAACGATGTGTGTCAGTGGTTCATCGACAGGGCTGACATGATATTCTTAGTGTACGACCCGGCGAAATTGGACGTAGGCCCCGAAACCGAAGCAATATTGGACCAACTTAAAGGCAGAGAATATCAGGTTAATATAATGTTATATTAAACGCAGTGGAGTATATTTTTGTAACCATCGTTGAGCAGGGATTATTTTTTAGATTGGTCTCTCGCCTTACAACAATTTTATTTCTTACATAGTTACATGACTTATATTACCTATATATATATTATATTATTTATGCTCACGTTAAATTTGTTGTCTCTCTCTTTCTCGGTGTCTCTCGTGTTTAGACAAGGATATTGTTGAATAAGGCTGACAAAATTCGAGCCGAAGAACTTATGCGCATACAGGGGACGCTCATATGGAACATAAGTCCGCTCATGTCCAGTGCAGAGCCTCCGGTCATTTATTCGGTGTCATTGTGGTCAAACCCGTATGAAATCGGGTCTCCAGCCAGGCTTCTACATTCTCAAGAACTATCATTCTTGAAAGACATCCGTTCGGCAATCGATAGGCGCGTTGAAAGCAAGATAGCCAGTGCTCGGCGATTCGCGGTAAGTACAATAATATCATAAATTATAGTAATATATGATCTATAGTATATATTTTATGAACAGTTTTTAACTAAAAAAAAAATAATCGAAGTCGTAATCTGTTTTTACAAAAATGTAATTGTATTTATTATGTTATAAAAATAAATATAATAATTATAAGTTTATATTTTTTAAGAAAATAAGACTTTATGTAGGCGGAATTATAATTTATAGCCTATTCAAGCTATGTTTAAACATTTTTTTTCTAGTTGCCATCAACCCCATTAAACCCCCATCGTTTTAGCCTGTAAAATATTATAACGGATCACCTCGTTTATATATACCTACTATTTATTATATAATTTTTTTATTATTTCGTACCTATTATTATTATTATAGACTGCTACAGTTGTCAATTTGATAAATAATAATATACCTACACATAAATACATAACGCGGCACGATGATGTGTGTTGCAGGTGAGGGTGCGAAACCACGCCAAGATGGTCGACTGTTATCTGACCACGTACTACAACCACAAGTCTTTCTTCGCAAACCGGAAGACCGTCAGCGACGACATCATAGAGAACCCACAGAACTATCACATCTACGAGGGCCTGAGCACGCTGACCAACATATCTAGATACGACCTGCCCGATCCGGACGTTTACCGAGACTTCTTCCGGCTGAACCCCGTGTACGAGTTCAAGCGGCTGTCCGACACATGCACGTACTTCCGGGGTTGTCCGATCAACAAGTTGGACATGGCCATTGCCTACGATCTGCCCGACCTGATCGGCCAATACAAAAGACAAGAGGAGCAACTGGTGACGGAGGTGCCGTGAAAATGCCACGACGATGTTATCCGATTACCCATCGTATATAATAATATACAGCTGATATATATTGTTTAATATTCAAATATTATTGTTTTACCAATTATTTATTCGTTTTCGTGTAGAATGTTTTTTTTCTCTCTCTCTTTGATTTATATTAAATTGTTAGATAATAATATGTGTGCGTCCTGAAAAATTGTTGCCATTTCTAAAAACGAACAAAAAAGTACATCTTAAAAACGTGACAACTGCATTAATAGTATATTATTATAATATAATATCATGTACTATATACGGTCATCAGCGACGTGCATTACATGATAGACACCGCATTACAATTATAGTATATTATATTATATATTATTATAATTCATACCTATATAGTATCGTGGTAGTCTTTTTTACGACCGCATTTTACGTTTATTAATTTTCGCTAATTACGACTATTCTCGGCGGAGTAATATCTCGGGACCTGTGACGTGTTTAAGATGCTATTTTTAAGCTGGAAATGTGAATCCAACTGAAAAAGATGCGTATACCATATAGCGGCTTCCGAAACAGTTTGCTCACATAATTGGCAATTATACCACTCGGTGGGAGGTATACGCATGTACATTGTATGTTATTATACAGAGTGGCTTGTGGTGTTTTCCCAATATCCGGCATGGTCAGCACACGGAAAAACGGGAAAACACCATGGTCCACCCTGTATACATTGTGATTTGTGTTACACGAATGTTTTATGTCAACAAACGAATTGGCAAATTATTATTATGAATATTATGTTCAGCATGTGTATTTATCTATCATCTAAAGTTTAAGAAATGTTTAATTAGAAAATCTTAATTGTGTTTTTTTCCATTATTATACAACAGCTGACAGGTATATACTTTGTACCTTACACTATAAAAATAGCTAATAGCACGACGTCTATATGTATATCGTATAAGTTATAATATTATAATCCAAACAGCTAGGAAATTTGATTATTGATTATAAATTATAATATAGGTTATATACTGCTTACAATTTACATGTAAGTAGATAATATAGGTTATTTATAATCGAATTTTAATGAATAATATTAAGAACTTTAAAAACTTCAAAAACACTTTTATGTTTACTTGTATATATTTAAATAAAATTATCAAATGGTTAATATAATAGACATGAAGATTCTTTACCGATACATAAAAAAATTATATTTAGCACAATTACAAATGAAAAACTGTCCATTATTCCGTAGGTACTCATGAAAATTCAAATTTGTTCTACATTAATTTAATTTGGCTCAATATTCAAACATTTGATGTTTATATAATATAAACCGGTATCATAACTCAGGTTATAGATGTTACAGATGTACCTACATCTGAGCGACTGAGCAGTGCCATTATTTTTAAATTCATATTTTAGAGTACCTATTATAATCGGTGGCCACCTATACATGCAAATATGGAAAATATTTCCAAAACCTATGACCAAATTATTTTTCAAACTGTTAACATTAGGTTATACTATACTTAGGACACTATAGGTATCTATATCTACGTATATGAGTAATATAACTTTACATAGAATCGCGAATTTTTTTATGTCTTTAAAGTTGATATTTTTTTCGTGACATGGTCGTTTACTCGTTTAAAGTATGACAAATTAATAATACCTATCCACCTAATTTGTTATGGTCGTAAAGAGCGAAAAGTTAGTAGTTACGGCACAGCGCTATTTTCAGAACGTGTACTTTATTATTAATGGTCAATGGAGTAGGTAGGTAATGGAAAATTCCGAAAATTAGTTAGATCTTTGGTCTCCTTATTCAGCTGACTGCATTTAATATCTGTATTCTGTAATGGTATTTTTAACAAAATATGCTATCTAAAGCAGGCTTAGATCACAGTATTCATAATGTACAATAATATATAATATATATATTACAATCTATAAGTAAATGTTGTAATGTTTATGCATAGACAAGAATACTAATATAACTAATGTAGTTTATGTAACTAATGTAAGTCTTCAGCATAATATTGTTTTGTTGTCGACTGTCAATCGAGTATGCCGAGTATCGACCGATGTCTTATCAGTTATTAAAAACTACGGCTTATCACGTATCGGCTTATCACATATCGGCTTATCACTTCCCGAAAAGACCGCGATAATGAATAATGTCTTGTTTTTCTTTGTCGATGTCTCCGGTCTCGGTGAAACCGGCGTCCGTTGTATTAATACAATATTGTGGAATGTATTTAAGACGTTTAGGTAGTTTTTATTTCTAAAAAGTCACACATCATGTACGAACTTCTACACGATATTTTGCAATGCATCGAATTCGTGTCCAGAAAGTTATTGCCTAACATTGCAGAAATAGTAGAAAAGTGGGGCCGATGCTCGGAGGTGTACGCTGGTGTTGTGGACAAAATTAACGTGGCTTGGAGGTAAAGTATCATCGTGATTAAAGTTAGAGTTAGTTAAAGTTAGTAATTACTAGCACAATATAGTATATTGTTTTGCATAGATTTGTATTTTTTTAAAGTTAAATTTAATATTACAACATTAAGCACGATGTTGATAATTTACTGGTAAATTACTTCATATAGGTAGGTACCTAATATGTTATAATGATTATATAAATAATGTTAGTATACCAAACACATATTATCTATACAAAGAGATTTATTAATACCAAACAGTAAGTCAGATTAATATACATGAATGTTATCCGATATGTCTTGGCTAATATTTCAAACACCAGCTGGTAAAACCCGTCCAGTTCATCTTGACCATCAGCGAGCGTTACAAGTACTATCTTATAATGTAAAGTAATACCAACTGTGACATAAGCCGATGGCCAAGATAAATTGGACAGGTCATTGGTTAGTTACTCCCATACTGTTCTACAGGGCTGGAAGTAAGTCACTTTTTTAAAATTGAGTCACTGTAAGTCACTTATTTAGAAAATAAGTCACTTATGTCACTTATTTTCAAAATGTACCTAGACTTAAATTTGAACTGCATATGGCGACCAACATCATATTTGAATGTACAGTATGTGGGAATCGTGAAAAAAAAAGTCCTGATAAAAATGAATGAAAATATATCAAAAATGAAGTATAAATATATTAAAATTTTATTGAAAAATACATTAAAGTTTCATAAAAAATGTTAATTACTTACTGAAATCACATATTAAAATATAATAAAAATTAATTTAATACAAGTCCAAAATAATAAAATGTATTACAATAATCAATAATAAACACAGTACCTATATAATTATAATAAAAATGCTATAAAATAATAAAAATTTAATATTATAATTAAGTACACCACTTTCTTGTGTTATAACTTACGGCTGTTAAAAAGGCCTGTTTATAGGCAGGTGTACATGTAACATATTAATATGTTATTATACCAAAAACTTTGTTTTTATGTAATGTTCCTAATCAAACTTCAAATTATAAGTATCTATAGTAATTTTGTATATATTTATTAGTCTACTATATTTGAAAAACCATCCAGGATGAATTCCTTATAACAAACCATATAACAATGTACTTATGATTAAAATAAAGGAAGTTCCTAAACAATGATCTTGAATATTATTCTATATTATAAACATTATTAATTGAAATAGGTAATATGATTTAATTATTTTCTATTAAAATTTGTATTTATTATAATCATTATTTTTTTGTAATTTCTACAAAATTAAGTAAGTTAGAATCAATTAAATCATAGGTATGTAGAGATTCAAAGACAAATGTTTAATAACATAGCTTTAACCACTTCCAGCCCTGGTTCTATGAAACAATTTGTGGATCTAGATTCAGAGAACTACAAGAATAGTAAATTATTACTGTAATGTCAGTAGAGGCGGTTAAGGAGGCGACAGAAGCATGACAAAAAATTGTATATGTGTCTTATTCAGCCATGTAGGAAGACTATAATTTCAGTCTTGGAAAAAATGCAGCCCTTACTTGCGACTCGTAGGGCTCATATAATAAAACGCGATTGAAATTCCTCATTTCATGCCCTTACCGCACAATATACAATCACCAAATAAAAAATTGTTCCTGAAAAATAATACTATATTCATTATTTCAGGGCTCCTTTGGATACAGATTTTTTAGAAGAATTCCCCGATATTAGAACTAAAGTGGTAATGAAACTTGAAAAGTTTGGAAATGACCAACTTTCTGTCTTACGTTTACTTATGTAAGTATTATCTAAATCAGTTACATTATTTTAGTTTTTTACAAAAGAAAATAATCAAGATTGTATTGTAATTGTATGTTTTATTATTAGTGTAAACATGTTTAACATAAATGAATGTCTAAAATATAAATTGGATGGAATTAACACCAAACTTGAGCAAATTTCATCTGAAGAACATAATGAACTTAAGCATTCAGTCCGTGAACATGTCATGTGGATAGAAGACTGTTGGAAATGTCTCCATTGCTTGTATCCTTTTCTAATTTCTATATTACCATAGGAAAGTATCGGGATGAACAAAAACTATTGGATACTATAAAAACTCAATATTGCTAAAATAGTATCATTACATAAGAACATGTTGCTTAAATTTTGTTAGTAATTTTATAATACATACCACAAATTTATCTATAGATAGGTACCTACTTAAAAGTATATTTGTGTCACACATTTTATATTTTTTAATGTTACTACAAAATTAAAATAAATAATTTTGAATAAAATAATAATAAACTTAAGAAAACAAACTAAATGCTAATTAAATTTAACACAATATAATTGTTTTAAATATAATTATATATTATCCATATCATAATATGTAGATCAATCAATAATACAATTTAATGGTGCTGCTCTTTGTATGCGGACTACAAATGCATGCAGTCTACAATCATATATGTAGACCGCATATTAGAGCAGAAAAAAAATTTTATATTTCTATACCTATGTATAATATATTATATATAAGTAAGATTACTTAAAGTAGGTATAGAGATAAAATTGTTAATTCCAGACAAATACGTAGGTATTTTATAAGTTTGTTACCTATCAGTCGTTGATTGTATAGTACATTTTAGAATTTTTTTTTTTCGTTTTGGACTTACCTTTAAGAACAACCGCCACCTTAACATGAAAAAGCCAGCAGATAGTTACTTACTGGTTCAATATGTGTCTTCAGGTTAGGTCGACATTATTCAAAAACTACCAAAGATGATGGGTACTGTGATCAATCTAATACAGATTGACAAAGCCATGTTTGCCGGAAAGAGGAAATATAACCTATAAAGAGGAAAGTTACTTAATGGTGATCAACCCCCTTCATCGGAAGACAGTGACGCTGAAATATAGAGCGGTAAAAACCATTGACGAAGAGTGGATGGGCTTTAGATTTTTGAGCTCAAAAATGGTTCTGACTGCCAATATTTTTATGTACTTCAAAAGGACAAAAACACATTGCTTCCAATTATCCAGCGAGAGTGTGAAGCTGGCTCTGTAATTACTCTCAGACAAATGGGCAGCTTATAGATGTTTAAATAGTAGTAGATATATTCATAACACTGTAAACCATCGGCAAAACTATGGTGATCCCTCGACGGGCACCCACACACAAAGATAGAAAGATCATGGCTGGATGTGAAGACAAAAATTCTGAAAACGATGAGGGGCACTACCCCACAACTACTTCAGTCCAACCTTGACCATTATTGTTTGAAGGTTGCTAGAAAATAAGAGCCTGACTTATTGATTGCATTTTTGAGGGACATTAAAGCAGTTCATCGTTAAATCTATACTACCAAATTTTTTTTTATTTTTTTTTTAATGTGATTAATTAAACTATAGATAAGACTACATTAAATAATTTTTTGATGTGATTTATTTTTATTAATTTCATTTATTTTTTAACATAATTATAATATATTTTTAATTAAACTATGGAGAAAACTACATGTAATAATTTTTTGACTTGATTTATTTTTACTAATTTCATTAATTTTTTACGTGTTTATGATACATTTTTAATCAAACTACGGAGAAAACTACATGTAATAATTTTTTGACTTGATTTATTTTTAATAATTTCATTAATTTTTTACGTGATTATAATATATTTTTAATTAAACTATGGATAAAACTACATTAATTAATCTTTTAAAGTGATTATAACGCGGTCTACATATAGGTACTATAGACCGCATAATAGAGCAGAAAATATATGACAGTAGTCCGCATATAAGAGCAGCACCAATTTAATTACCATATCCAAAAATATATTAAAATATATATAATGAATAAATACTTAATGTCTGGATTTTTTTTTTAGATTCTACAATCTACTTGAATATTTAATTGAATTTATTCACCTATATAGTACATATTAATATTATTTATATTTTAATGCTAATCATATTTAAGAAGTAAGCTTCTTCGTAATTCTTATTTTTTTTTTTATATATTCACATAACATCCCACAGAGAAAATTACTATAATATACAAACAGCAGACATATTATATTTAGATTTTAACTTTAATTTGCATAAATATAGAATACATTTTATTATTGGATACTAATGTTTTTGGAAATTTTTCTTACATTCTTATTTGGTAATATACACTGAACGCCGGTTGTCGTTTGCGCATCACTATTGTTATTTTTGACCTTTTTTGTAAGACAGTTGCGCATCGTTTGATTTTTGGGTTATACATTGCTTACGCATCGATCGTTTAAAAGGTTGTACATCATTTGCGCATCAATATTATTTAATAATAGAACTGAAAAAAAGGTGTATACTGTATACCCAAAAGTGCGTTGTTTTCTAACTTTAATCATAAAATTCAATCCTAAATGAACTGAACACAATTTTGTTGAATTCATTTTTACTCAAACTACCTATATGTTATATGTATATTTTTTACTATAAATATAACCATGTAATGTGTCCAATTGAACTGAGTATTAAATTTTTTACTACAAAATAATTTGCAAATTTTTGAGCTTTTGATAAATTTTGTCAACATTTGAACTTTAAATGCTTATTGAACAAAAACTTGTGCCTATGTATTTTAAACTATTCATTATCTATATAATATTATATGTGTGTAATTATTATTATACCTTTCAATTGTTCAGAATTTTGATGCGCATATGATGTACGATAATTTGGTGCCGGTAAACAGATGGTGCGCAAATGATATACGGCCACACTGAGTAACATTTATTTTTTATAAGATTATGCAATTTATAGTAAGTTACAAAAATCACTTTCCTCAACCAACAAACTCAGATACATGCAACTTGATTTTGCAATGATGTCATTAATTGTATTAGATGAAGAATCAGCATCAAATCTAGTTAAAGCAATTCAACAAGATGAAAAGGATAAATCAACTATAGGAAAATCACAAATTTATAAGCAAAGCTGCTTACTTTTAATCAAGTATATGTCAAATAAAACAAATATTAAACAGCACTGAATATAAATTGGATTTTGCTATTTATCCATATTTTTCTCAAAAATATATTGTGAACAAAAAAATAAAATTCTAAAGTCTAATTTTATTCATTCTATTGTTTTCATCAATAAAAAACAGTCTTACACTATAACAACTTAAAGACTAATAAAATGAACATATAACTGAAATGTAATTAATATTTGGTACCAGATTTTGTGCAATTTAATTAATTATTCTTCTTTAATCGCATTGTAATCATTTCTTTTGATCCAGCATAACATATTTATCCATACAAATGAACACATTCCAACATAAATTACACGAGCAGCCGGTGGCACCAACATGAAGTTAATAGCTTGTGCTGGCAACCAAAACACACAACTGGTTTTGAATGTAGGAATGAACTTCTGTCTGCATTCTTCAAATAGATCTTTTTTCCCCTCTAAGAGACTCATAGCTATAAACAATTATTAACACAATATTAAGAGTTATAATTTGGTTTACATTTATATAAGACAACAAATTGTACTTACTAACGAAAAATACTACGTAAAACGGCGGAGTCATTATAAATTGATCGATTAATAATTTTTTTACAATAATTTTTGGCGCAGTACCCACAAATGCTTTGTCCAGCCATTTATACCTAAAAATAATATTGATTTATTAATTTAAAATACATAAGCTAATGTTTTTGAAAAATGTGTTATAGATATTACCAAAAGTATAAAATGTTAGGACTAATTAGAGTGCCCACTATGGCATATCGTCCTAATACATCCGTGTCAATCGGCTCTGGTGGTTCGGTTTTATTCTAGGAAAATGTATGTATTCAATGTTTAATATTGGTAAAATACAATGCCATTGATATAGTACTTTACCAATATCCGTTTGGTCAATATTTGTTGTGAAAATTCAGCTCCGACACACATTGTACCATAGACAGTTGAATTAGCTATCATTGGATATTTTCTAAAAGTTTCCTTCACTACTCTTATTATTCTTGACATGTTTTCAATATTATTTTATTTTTCTGAAATTAAACGATTTTAGCAAATCCATGTATGTGTATGTACATATATTTATTCTACTCACCTAGAATTATTACAAAATTGGTTGTGAAACAATAAAAACATTAAGAGTAGTCTGTAACTATTAGCTATTGTACATTTAAATAGTCTAAAATTGTTAAGTAATTTTTACATAATATGATCTCACCGAATTGGATACTACTGAGATAGCATGTGTGATGTGTATAGTGGTTTTGTTTCGTTTTATAAGTTCCCCCACGTTTTTCATTGGTTTCATTATAGTGTTCTAGCGCTGATGGTGTTGATTTCGAGGCCAGTCTACTTCATTATAAATTAATTCTTAATAATCCACACTCCACACACTAGATATTATTTGACTCGCAGACAAGTAGGTACAAACAGGAAACAATATACTATACGATCCAATATTCTATAATAATATATAAACAGTCAAACAGAAAACACCAATCAGTATTTGTATAGGTACCTATATAATATGTTAAAGATTCGTCTAGTTTTGTTACATTAAAAAATTACCTATTAATAACAATGAACAACGAATTTGTCCTAATCAATTATCTAAATTGCCTAAAACTAAAATAAAAATATGTTTGTTCAGTATAAATTCTAATCATAATTAAAATTATTTGTGCGTCATGTATTGAACCGTTTAATAATGAATATACGATATGGTCGACGAGAGCATGAGACAGACTAATGAGTACTTTTATTATTATTAATAATCGTTGAGTACCTACCCATATAAATTCTTCTAGAATGACAACTTCAGTATTGCAACAAATGCAATTGATTGACGCAATAACGCTCCAGCAAAGCCTATAAAATATGCTGTGATAATGCACACGCCGTATTACCGTAGCCCTTAGGTATATTTAAAAACATTAAAAATTTTAATTTGTACTTAGGAGGTATTGAGTCCCGAATCTGTCTTACAAACAAACAATAACATACCAAATTGATTTGGCATTTTGACCCAACGAATAAAATTTAATTGAAATTTATAGAAAAAAAACTAAAAAAAATTGGAATATGAAAATGATGTCCGTAAACCGCTCAAAACTAGTTAAAATATTTTGAAAAATTTACCGTCTAAATAGAAAATGCTAATATAAACATTCAGTGAAAATTACATGTATCTCTCTAAAGTTATTTTTTTAGAGTTACACCCAAAACTTAAATCGATTTTGTCGAAAACCTATTTTGCGTAAAAGTTACAGTTTTTCCTTAATTTTTGTTTTGTGATTCCCTGCTCTAATTATTGAGAAACCTCCCGAATGCACAAACTATAGATTCACTTTCCCATCGAATAAGATAGGTACTGTTGAAGAAAATCGAAGCGGTGAAATTGCCACAAACGGTGATGATAGACCATAGAGTAATAATACTCTTTGTGATAGACACACATCATCATTGTAAAATCAATACATTCATCGCTCAGCTCAGAATTTAAAATGAAAGTTTTTTAATTTTTGCTATTTGAACATCAAAATGATGTAATTAAACAAGTTCCGTTGATGACGGTTTAAGTATCCATTTCGTGAAAAGTACAATAACGCGATATGGATGCGAAAAATATATAGATTACCTATTTACCAGCTATATATATGACATAAATATCATATTAAAAAAGTGTCCAAAATCTATACAGTTATCCGTTTACACACATCGGAAAGTGTGCAACTACCTACTCATTATATGTTTATGATAGAACTGCTGAGTTCTTATTCACGTAAACTGAAAACGCACTGTCTGAAATTTTTAACTGTTCAGTCCGGTGGCGTGTCGAAGGTATTATTTTGAAGCAATTGCTCCTTCAAAACTGTTGGTTGGTGTGTGTGGTCCCCCTGCCACAAAATACCAGGCCACCTAGGTGAAATATCATATCCGATTACACAAATAGTTACAAATGTACGCATATTTTGTAAATTTTAAATTAAAACTATTTTGCTGAGTTGGAAATGCCGTTATAAAAATCAAGAAGGGGGGCTGGTGGATGGGTACCTTTTACACATTTTTGCTCCTCACCAAAAATGTGTTGAAAACGCCACTGACACAGTCTATTTCCTCGACGTCATAACCTCATAAGTTATACGTAGGTATACCTGAGGGCTGAGAAATAATAGGTAATGGGAAATCCTATTGAGTAGTCAACCTAACCGAAATATTCGTCATATAATAATATGATTATCAATGGACGTTAGAAGAATAAGAGTTAGGTACCTATATAATTTAAGTAGGATAAAAATATATTCTCCAAATACATAAATACCTACCTAACTATAAGTAGGTACCTATTATACTTGCCTACTTATTATTGATACATAGAATCTAAGAGTAAAAAAATTAAACGGCTACAAAGGGCCCATTTACTGATGCCTTTACGGTTTGCAATTTTACATAACATTTGTTTAAACACTCCTCCCTCCAAAATTACGACTTATTCCCGAGTTCTTAACACATTTCATCTATGTTTTGTATTTTCGACCTGTTGAGTTATTGTAATGCGAGCGGATTGAATGTAGACTGATTAACATATCATAATAGGTGTGGGGAAAATGTTTTATTGTTTTATAACGACCAGGATATGGAAATCGCATTCGACAGTAACCACTCTCCGAAACGTGTATAATATGATATACGTGCACAATATTGGTGTATACCCAAACAAGTGATAATCTAATCGCCCCAGCAATATTATTATTCAAGGATTAATTCATTAAAAATTAAAAAAGGTTTTTAGGTTCGCAAACTTGTCTAGGTACTAAAAAGTTTTTATTATTCATATAATATGGATTAAATGTAGAATAGGTCCATATTTATACATATTAATATTTATTTATTTATTTTTTTTTTATTAGCTTTCTAATATTTATTAATCACATATTATACGCATATTACATAGTGATAGGTTATGTTGTGAACAGTCATAATGACCATAGGCGCAATTTGGAAAACTGATTTGGGGGGCTAAATTTATAAAATCAATACAGACCCGCCCAGAGGCTGCGTCCCAGCACCCCCTCATCACTTGTTATAATTTTTACGGTAATAATATATTTCAAAAATATTTAGTAACAGTAAAAATGAAATACAATAATATATACAACTCAAGTAGGTAAATCAATGCTAATTTATTTGTAATTATAAAAATAAAATAACATATAAAGTTAGTGGTTACACAGTGTTAAATCTTATAATTGCGAACGGTGATTAGACATAGCGAATTTATTTAATATATCTTCATTTTCAATACTATAGGTACCAGAAATGTCCTTTTCTATATATTATATCACAGAAGCATTTGAAAATCTATATTGATGCATAGATGTGCGTAACCAATTTTTTATCTTCCTCATAGTTGAAAAAGACCTTTCACATGCACTAGAAGAATTCTAAACATATTTTTTTTTTAATATTAAATTAACGTATTTCCTGGGATAACCTTCTGGATAACATTAACGGTCGCAGAATAACCCTTTTATTGCTGCTCGACCGGATTTCCGACCAAAACTCAAACATACGTAATAACTAATAATACTTATTTGTTATCGCTTATAAGCAATAGTTATTGTTTTATGATTCCAATTTAAATACAAAACAGATAGTATAGTATAATATTATAGTATGGAACTGTAATATATCGTACATAGTAATATCTATATCTGACTAATGAGTAATGACTATTATTAAGAAATGTTTTTTTAGTAAAGTAAAGTAAAAATGAAAATTAATGAAAACCCAATTTATTTCACCATAAAAAATAAATGTCTTGTCTGCGGCTGGAGAAAGTTCGTCCACTGCCCGCGAGACGCCATTCGGTGACCCCTGCTGTAGTGGTATATCACCACGTATGACTCAGGGCCCAGGGGCCGCTCCAGGGGAGAGGGCTAGGGAGGCTGTGGCCATCTCCCCCTGCCAAGCCCGTATTTCTAAAAAATATGTATATTGTTAAAAACAAAATTACAAAAAAAAAACATATTATAATATCGACATTTTTCTAAAAACCAATAGGTATAACTTAGCCACCCTCCCCTCTGGAGCTGCCCCTGGTATGGTGGTATGCCTGTATATACCGTGGAATCCGAACGTATATATAGGCTGGTGCAGTGGTGCGTACAATAGTTTAATAGTTTATAGACATAATACGGACGACGACTTTGATCGTTTTCATACAGCCAATCACGCATATTGACTGTGATGTGACAATAATATATTATACGGAGCGTTTTACGTCGTAATTCAATTGAATACACAATGGCCGCGAGGCTGTCGTTCATATAATTTGCAACACGATTTGTTGTTCAAATACTGCTCTTCCTAGTACAAAACGAATATTATGTACATATTATACAAGATATTATGACATATTATTATGATATTTTAATATTCAGGTTGAAAATATCGTTGGATTGGTTTATATATTATACCTATTGCTATAAATTATTTAAACAATTTAAAACCTCCATTCGTTTATAATATAGTCGTGTAAATAATATCGGTTACGAATACTTAGGTACCTAGTTATTACCTGTATATACGATATTACGACGTTTAAAAATCAAAAGTTGGACCTAATAAATCACTCATTTTGACACGTCATTGTACGTATATTAATGAAGACTGAGGGGTGATGATTTTAATAGCAGGTACTTACATAATATTATAAATTACAATATATTATTTGTTGTTAAAAATATAATCCAGTAGGTATAAGATATAAAGGTACCTACCATATATGTTATTAATTATTATTCCATATTATACAGGCATATGGCATATCGTATACAATATAGTCTATAGGCTATAAGCACTGTATTATTACCTATGTATAATTCTGTAAAGGAATAAATGTATAAGCTGTATGTATAGGGTTAGGCTTAGGACTTGGGACGTTCGCGGTGGGTATAGGTATTAGGTACCTACCTATGTAACATTGTAACGGATCTATATAATATTTG